GCACTAGAAACAGGGAGTCCATCCCCTGGAACACCCGCGTCTCAGGGAAGCAAAGGTCGTTTTTGGCCCACGATAAACCCCTTATCCGCCACCTGAGGACGCGCCACATAGCCTCGCAACTAACTGGCTATCGAGATCCCTCACATGAAGGAGATCTGTGGCATTCCTATGTAACTACCGATATTCTCATCATAACTATACGGATGCATCAAAGTTACTGGTCATCATTTGCTCATGATCGCCTGAATCACCATCATCCTATCCGCACGCTAATCCTGTTTAACATCTAGTGACACAAGCATGTAAGGTCTGCTTGTAACATCAGTTTTTTTTGCATGAGCTCTTTTACTTCATCATTTCTCATTTCGTTGTATCCAAGAACAACACACATGAGCAATGGAGGCCATGCCTATTCCTGCCTAGTTTTCAGGACTTTGTCGGAGTTGACGTGGGCTTAATTGTTGAGGGTGACCTCCAAAATTCTTCATTATCTGTCACTCGAATGAAGGTAAAAGACGCACACATCCAGCTTTCCGAACTCCATGTTTACACAGGTGTGATATCGTATTGTTTGTGCAGAGAAATATCATGCTCATTCTGAGTGAAAATAGTTTTTCACCGCATCCATGATGCAGGAGGCTCTTCCGTTTTGCGCATGAGTTTAGCTCGTGCTTGAGGCTTTTTGGTATTCATTATGGATGTCATCGGGCGCTAATGATATCTTTTCTTTTTAAAACCTGGCAGTAGTCGTGCTAGGGTGTTCCTAGCTCTTCAGTGCAGGTAGCCGTCGTCACTTGTCTATTGTAGGCAGAAAACTAATCGTAGACAAGTCTGGCATCGATTTGTCGACCTAAGATGAATGTGAGGCTTGCTTAGCCCTCGTTGTAGTTGAGGCGTGCCTCGTTGTACTTCCACTATCCTACCAGCGCTCACAACATGAGTATAAACATATAATGATGCTGAGATATATGCAAAACTCCGGGCCGCAGGTGTCCGCGGTGGAGAACAAGTAATACCCTACCGTGAAAGCTTGTAAAAGGCAGCAATAAATAAAAAGTGAACATTATAAATATATACATGTATTATGTAAAGACCACCGCGAGTTATTTTCCGAGGTAGACATGCATACGTATATGCATATATATATATATATATATATATACATATATATATGCTTCCGTGGTGCTTGTGGCGCAGTGGTTGGAAGCGACATTACGACACGCGCGCGGAGTCGATCTCTGCGCCCATGGTTCGCCAAGGCTTCCGTCCCTCCGGGGTCGGCAAATTGGTATCACACTTGTCTGCGAGGGTAACAGCACTGGCTCCATATATCGGCAGGCAACCGCGAGTCATTGTAAAGGTCAGATACGCATTCAATCACCTCCAAACGGTGCTAAGCTAAGTCGAATGCATGGTGCATCCTTCAGGGATTTATCAACGCCGAGAGGTTTTTTCTTTATCCCTTTATTTATGTTTCCATTGTTTTGTGTATGTGTGTTCCTCAGAAATTAGTAGCATTGCGAGTTTTCTGGGGACCGAAGGCCAAATGTTACTTAAATGAATGCATAATTAATATAACCGGAAATACGACCAGTACGTAGACCATGTCATCCGCTAGGGACACTACAATATCCATACGTCCTCCGCGCTACCCTACTCCCTCTGGGCTACAGCGAGAACATTTTAACGGCGCTATACCCAAACGTCGATAGTTAGCTGAAAGCTGGTCAAATACACAATGGTTTAGAGCAAAAGAAGTCGTTTTCTAGATTTAGTAATTAACAAAGACCTGTTTTCAAGGAGGTTCATTTGCTAGTAATTTGATAAACTTTTGGCTGTTGATGTATTCTGATCACCATTGTTATTGCTTGGAATGTGCAGATATAGAAAGGACTGAAGTAGAATCGATGGGTGCCAAATGCTTCGAAATGCTCGCGGCGTTTTTTTTGGGATGGACCATAGTAATGCATAGTAAATAGTAGATGCATATCATCCATGCTCATATCGGAGTGGAAAGAAGTCTTTTCTTCAATTCTGTCGCGTAAATAACCACTAAAGCCCTCTGAACAAAAAAGGATAAAGCTCTCGGCGTTGATCAATGCTCGAGAGATGCGCTATGCATTCGACTTCATTAAGTATCGTTTGAAGGTGATTGAATGGATATCTGGTCTTTACAATGATTCGCGGTAGCCTGCCGATGTATCGAGCCAATGACGCTATCCTCCCAGAAAAGTCTCGTACCAGCGAGATGGACCATGGGCGCGGGAATCCATCCCGTGTTGCATTGCCCCTTCCACCACTGCGCCACATGTGCCCTTATCCTCTAAAGTAGCATCTATTAATTTAATGAATTTTAGAAATTATTTTTTCTGTATTTCTAAGGGGATTCCCAATGTATGGCAAGATTATATACACTGCATAATACGTTGAGGAATGTGTTTTTTCGTAGGGCGTGGTAATTAAGGGATCGCGGTGAATTCACTCTGGGTGGGTGGGGAGGAGAGGAGTGGCGATGGTGGAGTTCAGGTAATCAGAGAAGCGTTTAATTGTTAGGATTTATTCGAAATGATATCTCATCTACCAGTTATCCGTAGACTTTTCGCTAAATTGACATGGAAGGTAACAATTCGGCGCGTAGTGCGGCGACAACTTGCTCGCGAGCACGCATGGAAAACTATGCGTCTCAGCATTTTTCGAAATCTGAAACGAATTGAATAAGCGTTTTTTGTACCACTCGTTTCATGTCGATGTAAAGAAAGTTGGTATGCATCACAAAATACAGTTGTAAAAAGATGAAGGATCGTGTCAACATACTGGAAATCGCAACGAAACAACAGCAAGCACGGCTAGAGTGCCACTTAGGTTCCCTTCTGTGGTGTTGCCAAGGGTGTGCCAGAATTCAGTGCTGTAACTACTATTTCAAACAGGAGGATCTGTAAATATGAAATCTAAATGAGTTTCTCGCTTTTTAAATATACCACTGAAGTAGACGTCCAAAGTATTGCGAACTACTCACGGAGCGCCGGAACGATGTTTTCAGTTATATAACCAGAACACACCATATCTACCTGGGATTCGAGTCTCTGATTTTCGACACCTATACCGTTTTCGAGATGCAGGAGAACACACATGGATAGTGAAACACAGATGTGCAGGTCATGTGGTTAGAAAAACAGCACAAATGGACGAAACGAACTGTAGAATGGATTCCACAAGCAAGTATGTGTCCTCTACGACAAATACTTACTTGTTGGGCGGTCATTTTCGCAGCTCAAGTGGAACAACTATACTCGCAGTTGCAGTGGTTTTACAGGTCACCGTATGAGACGCATAGTCGCCAACATTTTGGAATCAAAACATCACCATTGCCGACTACCGCGTGTCAATGAGAGGTGAAAAATCTGCTGGGGTCAGCATAACTTGTGAAGATGGGCCGTCTGAAATCTTTTGACTGTGAACAGCCCCTAAGGGATGGGTCGTTTACTGAACTTTACTAAGTACACTAAGAGGTTACTGAATGGGTACATGGCTGATACAATGGCTCGTGCGGCTTACCTGTTACAAATTGGCGCTGCTATCTTCCTAGACACGTCTGGCCGCAATTTGCGCACCCACTCACTTTGCGTCAGTTTAGGAAAACGAGGGTGCTCATCATAGTTCAAATTCGTTGAGTCACTTATTATTGAATTTCTAAAAGTGTCACAGTTTTTCTTTTGCTTCCTTTTTGGTGAAATTCCGACGCTGTAACGCAGTCGAAAACAAGGGCTGAAAGGAGTGACTTGCTGCACCCAGATAACAGCAGTGTGATTTATGCATATTGGTGCTATTATCGTTTTTACATCAGCGTGCGTGTAGCGCAGTGGTCAGAAGCGCTCTACGACACACACATCCGATCGATCTTCGCATCCCAGGCTCACCGAGCCCTCGATCCCTCCGGTTTCGCCAAATTGGTACCAGACTTGTTTGAGAGGATTGAAGCACTGTCTCGATACATCGGTAGGCCATTGCGAGTCATCGCAAGGGCCAACTATGCATTCAATCACCTCCAAACGATGCTTAATGAAGTCGAATGCATGGCTCATTCCTCAGGTATTGGTCGACGCCTAGAGCTTCTATCTTCACTTACTGTCGTCATTCCAAGTTCTACTCGAAAGTTGGCAAATTTCCTTTCAGTTTACAAGAGGCCGGAACTGACTGAACGTATTGAGGTTGTGTGAAAGCCATAACACCTCTCTCTCAGGACACCAGGAAGAGAACACGCTATGCTAGCAAAAAGCGGTGGTTGAGAAAAGGACACTCTCCTCTCAACGAAATCGAAGGTATTCTATAGCAGCTTAGATGCGGCCCATTAATAACAGTAATTGCATCAACAGTGAATTACCAAGGAAAGCGATATTTATTATGGCTCATCAAAGCATACTTAAAGCCAAGTGAAGAATGAGATGAGAAGAAACTTATTCGCAACTGCGTAGAATGTCAATGCATACCTTTAGTGTTGTGCTGCCCCTGGATTGGGAAGTTCTAGACGGTTACGAGATCGATCGATGCACGCGATCATGAAGTGCAAATGGTAGCTATAGATTGCCAGCTGCGCAGAGTTGCCAGCAGTCAATCAATGGTAACCGTCTTCCTATGCAGATCGATCTGGTATGATACAACGCTAAAATAAAAGGATAAGGTTCTCAGCGTTTATCAGTCCTTGTTGGATGCGCCATTCGTTTGAGTTCACTAAGCATCGTTAGAAGGTAATCGATTGTATATCCAGCCCGTACAATTTGCAGTGGCCTACTTGTGCACTGGTATTCTACCAGACAGATCTGGACACAGTTTTACAACCCCGAAGAGATGGAACGCTTGGTGATCCTGGGGGCGCGCTATCAAACCGAACTATGATGTTTATGCTCACTACTGACTTTATCATGTCTACTGATGTTCAAACCGGCCTAACGAGGGTTGCCAAGGTGTCCCGTACATCTCGACCTCACCCTCCGTGCTCAGAAATGGTCAGACAGGCTATCGCCGAGTTTCACGACAGTTTCGGTTCGTCGAAAGCTGCCATCCATCGTTACATTGTTGAGCGCTATCCACTTGGAAAGAACAACAACGTGATTAGTAGCAATACTCGGCTAGCGCTCAGGAGAGGTGTTGAGCGAGGACCACTCGTACAAGTCAGCGGAAGCGGTGTAAATGGAAGTTATAGGCTCGCTGAAGAGAAAGCGTCTATTCGGAAGGGCAAAGATAACGTCGACAGCAAGAAGGCAAAACCAGCAGGACCCGAAAAAACAGTCACCGTATCGGTAAAAAGCAAGTATCGAGAAGAAGACCAAGGCACGAGAGAAAGTGACGTCAAAGAAAGCCAAAAATTCTGCGATTTTCGGTGTATTTTTTGATGCTGCCGGCGTGTTTCGATCCAATAAGGTCTAAACGCTGCTGATTCTGATACGCCGAGATCCGATTTATTATGTGATCAATTTCGATAATCGTTTTCGGTCGGCCTATTACTACGATGTGATCTATTTCGTCATGGCACTCTCCATTTGGAGACTTCCACGTCCTGCGTTGAGAGCAAGGTTTCTGGAATTGTGAGTTAACATAAATGGTCTTGGTCGTCTTCAAAGACTCAGACGTCCCTTCGTTCCATTATAATCCGTTGGCCCTAGTGCGCCGTTCTTCAAACGTTCGGCTCTTTCCAGTATCACCTGTATCATTTGTCGTTCCATTGATCGTCGAAAAACTCAAGCAAGCGCCAGTAAAACGTCCAGTTTTCCCTGTCACGTGCAAGAGCAACTCAGTGCTCATCATAAGAAGAACTTAGGCCACCGGGTCGGTGATCTCCCTGCACTACGTTTGACATTCTGAGGAACCCTATCACCAAAGACTCTTGTCCATCGCTTGTCGCTCACACGCATTACGTGTGCGACCCACCTTATCTTCGATAGTTCGGCGCGTAGAAGGGTGTCAGTGGTCTTTGTACGTTTATTTAGATTGCAGCTTCGTAACCCTTCCTTTATTTGCGTGGAATAGCATCGTCCTTTCGAATGCGTCTTCAATAACGCTGAGTGATCTTTTATCCTATGTCTATAGCGCTAGGTTTCAGACGCATATGCCAAAAATAAAGAATCGTGGCATTGAGAGGTGGGTATAGAGTCGTGTGTTCTTAGTCCTCTTCAGTACATCGTCGCTGCTCTTGGAAGCTCCCCAAGCCACTCATTTCCTCTTGCTTAACTTCGAGGCTAAGTCGTTTATCATGCTGACTCCTAATGTTGCTGAGGTTCCAACGTAGGGATGGATATATTGACGGCTAGCGAGTAGCTTGCTAGTCTCTCCCAAAGTACATGGGAGCTCATTTTTTGGAGGCGACTCCTAACCGCTTCTCATATAATTCGCTGTCGCTTGAATGCAGACTTTGGGCTGAATTGGCTCGTAGAATACAATTGACATAAACGAGAAAACACCAACGCACGCAAGCATGAATGCATTCCCGTAAAAAAGAAGCTATGTGCAAAATCGAAGCAGCAAAAGGAGAAAATCTCTCCTCTAGGCCCTCCAACATCCCGGGAAAGCAGAGGTCGCATTTGGTAGGCGATTAACCCCTTATCCATCACTTGAGACTCGTCACGTTTCTTCACAACTGACCGTCATAAGATCCCTCTATGAGGAAGATCTGTGGCTTTTCCAAGTGTCAAGGTTGAAATTTTCTATGGTAACCTTAAAGAATGTGTGGTCTTCTATGTAGGAACTCCTTGAGCTCATATAGAACGCTTCGACATCAGTTCCTTCATGGCTTAATGTCGATGCGTAGACGACAAAGATTGCCAAAGCCGGTATTGATACACAGTTTTTAAACCTAACACGTCAGATCCTTGCGGTTAGTCTCTCAAATATATCGATGTTCATGACCAAACTTGTGTTGACGAGAACACCGACGCCGCCCACTTTTCTAATAACGTATGCTCCAAGGAGCAGTTGAAAATAGCTATCATAAAAACTACACAGTCATGATCTGCTTATTAGCCTTTTCGATTCAATGAATGAGCAACCATAAAATGTCCATAAAACCAGGAAAACCTAGAGTTTTGAAGAAGACGTTAACTGACAAACCGTGATGTTAGAACATCGGAAGTGACAACCGAAATACTGTTTTCCAATGATTACACTTCTTAACAAGCCGAAACATGTCGGTCATGTCGAGTTTCGTTTATACGCCACAAGATTCATTGTTTGTCCAGTTCACTCACACGTCTCATTTATGAGCTTTCATCGAAACATTCCGGTGGTCTCGTTATGGACATGAAGCAATCACTACCAGGTACATAGTGCTTTAATTTCTTTGTTGCTTTCTCTATTTTCTAGGCACTTTTTCGTAAGACACTCATTGGTAAGAGAAAAATATTGTTCGAACTAGTGATCAACACTTGTTAAAGAACGCCGACTCTTCTTGGTGGTATTCTCAGAAATGTTAATGAAGTCTTAGCGTGAACTAAACTAATCGATCTGCATCATAAACATGCCCGAGCCCTTCTTTCGTGGCTTCTATAAAATAGTAGCCATGCAGACGAAAGTTGGTTAGTCTAATCTTGTACTGCCTTAATCCGATTAGAATAAGCTCCCATTATCAAGGCTATGCAGGCATCCATTACAATTTGCCGTTGAAAATTCTCATACACTTTCCATGTATATCAGGTACTCCGTTTCTTCAAGTGTAGGATGTATGTTGGATAAAATGCTGATGGGTGGACCAAAATTATCACCAATCCCTCTGAGGGTGAAGCTCTCCTATCAACGAAACTACCACCGCTTTGAGCGAGTTTCCCATTTTCAATGTTTTTTAATCGTATTCGGTTGAGCTTTTTTGCCAAAATCGATGGAAAGTGGCGGTTCAGTGTTTCGATGAGTTGCCTGAATATAGCATGTTATTTTGTGTCGATCGTTTGGCAGTTCAACCTCATTCCGTTTCACAAGAATGGTCACCAAAGTGCGAGGAGCACTTAGTAGTTCAAGACCTCGTGATCGTTTTTTCGGAATCATCCGCTAAACGGTCTAATTTGTTTCATCTGGGAAACCATGGCTTAGAGTCCAAAAATTGTAATGCAACATAAAAGCTTAAGCTCTTGGCGTTGATCAATCAAGGATCGTTGGAGGTGACTGGTTGCATATCTGGCCTTTACAACCACTCGCGGTGCCCTACCGATGTACCGAGCTAGTGCTGTTATCCTCCCAGACAAGTCTGGTACCAATTTGCCGACCCGGAAGGCTTAGTGGGCCAGGGGTCTGGGAATCGATCGATCTCGTGTGTATTGCAAGGCGCTTCCGACCAATGCGCCACCCGCATCAATGCGAAATAGAGTGAATTCGATACTCATGAAGAATTCGATGGAATTGGAGAAAGCTTTGCCGAAGTCGTTGCCCAACTTAACGTCCGTTAAAAACCCGAGGAGCAACGGTTTTTTTCCAATCATTAATGTATTTGCCTACCCTCTTCGCTACCATACATCCACTATTCAAATGTTATTGACCTAGGCCGTAAACATTTAGACTCCTTCCTGAGTTGTTATTTCAGACCTCTCTGACAATGAGCAGTGTCGGAGCGTTAACACATCAACGCTACAACCATCAAAGTGAGTTTCTGACAAACAATTCTTTGGTGAAGCGGTGACTGCTAGTCAAAATTTTCCTTCACATAAAGCATTGACGCTCGGAGCGCACTCTCGATTTTATTATAAGTAATTTCTGAATTAATCAGAGTAAGTGTTGATCTGTCATTGTAAAAAAAGCATGCAAATTACGTCTTTGGCTTTGAATCGGATGTCATGAAAGAAAATTTCGATTCTTTGTGAGTGATAAGTTTGGAGTTGAACAATCGTTTTATTCAGCTTCTCCGCAATTCGTCTACATAGCGCTCCAAACTCTCCAACTACGGTGGCGCCTAATACTGCTCCTTGGCCTCCACCGCCTATTTTACCTAACACGCCACGCTCAATGGTGAGTGGACGTAATTTAGTGTAGCTGAACTTCAATGGCCATAAAACTTAGTAGCTTTGCTCTCAGCCAACACAAAGCCTATGTGGACAAGGTTTAGCTAAAGTGTAACGAAATTCGATTCAGAGATAGGAATAAATAGTAGCACTGTCACCACCTTTACCTCAGAATTCTTTGTTAATTGTCAAAATGTATGGTTATTGACCAAGAAATCGCAAAATTAAAGTTCCTTAACAACTGAGCGTGCTCACACGTTCGTCATTGGTTTACTTTTAGCTCGGCATGCACATGAAAATCTCGAACTTATTTTAGGTGCTTCTGTGTCCTGCTTGGACATGAGCCTTCCGCCGTAGAAAAATATTCTTAAGCTAGTGATCAGTAAAAGAAGCTGCTAGAAAACATGGCGTCTTTATGTGAAAAATGTTCCCATCGAGACCAGATTAAGATCCGTCCTATATATAATGGCATCGCCGAGTGAAGTTACCCATTCGAGCGGTGCTCTACTTTAATGCATTAGACTCCTTGCGACAATAAACACATACTTAGTGAGGGAACTACATGTGGAACATCAACTTCGATTATCGGCTCCGAAGAAGACGAAGCCGTTGAAACGTATTGTCAATAAAAGTTATATAACAGCCTCGTGTCGGAATCGCCATCTTTACAAATTTGGGCAACTTTCAATGAGAGTTCGTATCCTTGTAAACTGCGAAGTAACCTTCACTATATTCGTGAACTGCTCGTCATCGTTCAAAATATCGGCGCTTTTCGACAAGCACATTTTGGCCTCCACTATACTATTGCCATCTCGCCCAAAAGGATCTTAAAGTGGCTAAACTTTATGGTGCTGATGGCAGTCTAGTTCTGGCCGACTCGCATATCTTTTCCATTCTTAAAAAAGTTTACGTAAGCTATCTTGAGCTATCAACAATCGGTGATTATCCGATAAGGAGTTGCTCAGCATTTAGTAGGAAGCCCCACTGTCGAGTACCTCTATGCGGTAAGCTGATTTCTCTGAAAGTCGAATGCGTCGGCCGTTCGTTTATGACTAATACTTTTTCTTCAGTATTGATCAGGAGACTCTCTTAGAGGTTCACTTTATTATGTTTTCCATCTTGACTTAATGTAACCATTAATAGGCATGGTCATGATTGGTCATGAAATTTTTTTCAGCTTCACGGATCTTGCAATCATTATTATTTACTTCAAAAAGCTTTACAGTCTTCTAATGCTGCCCGCTAACATCTCTCTCCTCATGCGTTTTACGTTTTAGCAGATAACCCGCGTCAAACGGTTAGTGGTTATTCTTAATGTTCACTTCTTTTATAGGCTAAACTGTTGCAAAGATTTCCAGCATTTGGCAGTAATTTTACGGAGTTCGTGCTTCACGACTTCTCGCCTATACTCGTCG